TCATCAATTTGTTGTCTATTATGAAAATTACTTGTTAATATCATTTCAGGTTAATTAATGTTGAGACAGGAAGGAACGGTGAAAGATTTTAAATTGCTCTATGAAAAAAAAGGCGATGAAGCCTGGGGGAAGTATTTGACGCACCAAGGTAATAATCTATCGTGAAGTATATGCTATTGCTAATATCTTAATGAAATTTTTTCGGTTTATATGTACAAGTAAATGGAAGTAGATTAAATTTAAATTTAAATTGAATATTTAATAAGCATGTTACGATGGTTTCAGTAAGTATGTTAATATCTTATGTTTCCTTTAAATATACATTTCACCATGCATTCTCCTGTACAATTATTCTCCTAAAAGATCAGTCCAGTTGAGGAGTTGATAGCTTCTTCATATTCACAATTATTTAGACTGAATTTCTTGGAGGTGAACAGGGATATAATTATTAAAAAGTTATCTGCTTCATTTAATATTATTCTGGATTATTTTTATGTCAAGTTTATTTTTCCGTAACTTATTAATTGTGGATTCAGCAAAAACTAGGCATTGCAGTTTCATGCAAGATATTAATTACTCATATCATATTGTGCTTTTCACTTTTATGCCTCAAGTTTTGTAAGAAAAACTATAAAAAAATTTCACTCTAAATTTTATTAATGTTATATGAAATAATATTTCAACTGGTTCATATAATTTCCAATTTAAATTGAGTGATTATGAAAATGCAGGCGAATACACTGAGTGGTATTGCTTTATTCGGAAGAACTACGCGTCGATCCATAAGATGTACCACACGTCACCTGTTGTATATTCGTGTGGTTTCGGCAAAAGTTGTTCTATCGCAGATGTTTGCGGCTTGGCATTCCAAGGTTTCTAGTAAATTTGACTGCAAATTTATTTACTTTTTAAATCCTATATTTTTTCAATTAAGCAATTTCCTTCTTTATTCAATATAACTGCATCTTATTGGCAAGTAATCTTGTTGAACTGTTTTTTCTTTTTATTAAATTTCAGATGGTAGTATGGGCGTGGTGTTGGCAGTGAACGATGAGCAAAATGAAGAATATTTTTTGGCGTATTATAGTATAAAAGTCAGCAAAATTGTAAAGAACATATCTGTTCGCAAAAAAGTTGGTCTGATGGTTTATTAAATAATCTGAGGAAAATTTTCCATTTTCTAGTAGCGAAAATGGCAAAATAAAAACTTAAATGTAAAATTTGTCCTTTCGAAATGTAGATTGCAAGTTTACAGGGTAGCATGAATGTGTTTGACGGACACATATTTCAGATCAGTCGCATTGCAGCAATTTTAGATGGAACAAAGAAAGAAGAAATTCATTTTTTACATGAAAATTTGAGAAAATCACCGCATCTAATTGCAGTAGGAACTCATGGAGGGGATTGTTATCTTACACATTTTGGTATTGATATGCCTGATATGATTGATTCAAAAATTGAACGTCCTCCCTTTACGACTAATTTATGCAGTATGTTTTGGGCACATCACCATAATACTTAATTTATGTATTATCTATTTACTTTTTCGTTTATATTTCTATCCATTCATTTATATCTATAATTTACGGTGCTCGTTAGATTACCGATTTTTTAGATTATCATTTCAGCGTATGGATTAGAAATTGAGTAAATAAATTATTTATTTGACAGCAATCACTTTCTTTCAAATTTGAAATTTAAGATTGTACTTCATTTACAGAATCGTATATATCTCAGGAGCAGTTTAATTTTGTGACCAATAATGGAAAGGTTTTTTCTATCAACATAGGCAAGTTTAAACTTCTTTTTTGTCATATTCAAAGTGTACCGAAAAACGAGTTTATTAAATTAAGAATTTGTGTGTATATAAAACTTTTAATTTACAGATGACTTATATGTCTCAGCTGTATCATACTTAGAACGGTGCAAAACACTTGTTATTGGTTTTTCTTGTGGTGCTTTTATTGCAGTCAGCCTTCTTAACGGCAAGGAGTATGCTTTTAATTTAGTGGATAATGTTGTCGAAAAGATTATTGAACTTTTGCTAACTAATAACTTATCATAACATCATTTTGATGGGTTAAGTAATAAATCACAACAATTGTATTAAAATTAGCAAATTTTTTTTCCTTTACTGTCTCTGGTTGCTGTTTTTCTTGTGATTTAAAAAAAATGTTGATAATGCAGAACAATTTTTTTATTCAAATTCGATACCGTTTTTTGTATGTTGTTTTTTAAGCGGTTCATATTACCACTCATCTTCATCTGTTTATGGTTTCGCATGCCAGGAACCAGTAGATGATCCACGTCCAGTATTATATTTATGGGTTGCTTATTCTAAACGGTAATTAATTTTAATGAAAAGTTTGTTTAACTTGAAACTTTTTAAATTAAATTTTACCAAAAATTTTAAAGAATATTATTTATGTGAGCTTCGTTTCAGAAAACAAAACCCCCATGCTATGTTATTTGTGATTACTTTCCCAAATGATGAAGGGCAGCCTTCAAGTCAATGGAGTTTCAGCGAATTTATGATCATGAAATATCTCGTGGTACTAAAACTCAAATCTGTTCTTTTACTTTCATTAAATAAAAATCTGAAGTTCATAATTTTTTTTCAATATAATGGAAGTTAGTGTAATAATTTGAATTTTTTACTAGGTGTATCAGATTTTAATATTTACAGTGGTACCCTGATAACTGCTCAAAATGGCTTTCTTTTCGAACTATTGTATCATTTGGATCTAAGGAACATCAGCCAAAAAATATTCTGGAGCGGTAACTTGTTAATTTATGAACTGGGAATATTTATTGCATCATTTCATGTTTAGAAGAAGATCCAGCGCTGTAATAATTGAATAACTGAGTCATCAGCAAAGTTTTGTACATCAGATTTCAACGTTTCTCTTTAAGATCGTCGAGCACCGAGGAAATTCTACGCATAAATGCTATGAACACTATCCACATGCTGATGACTTGGAAAAATACCAATAATTCAGTAGAGGCATGTATCATTTTATTGGTTTTTTATTGTTTCATCGTGTTATTTTGTGCTGTAAGTTATCTTTGACTCCTTTCATGATTTTACGTTCTGAATTAGCAATTTTCCAGGGTGCACTCTTTGATTTAAACGCTTTTTATTACAAACGCTTGCCTCGGCAAATTATGTTTGATCAGTCGGTTCTGAAACTGAACCCGTTTCTTGCTGTATTTAAGGTGAAGACATTGAAGGATCAAGAAGCAGATTTTGTTAGTTCATAGAATCATAAAACATAACGATAATATCTTTAACCTGTATGAATCAGCTTCTTAAACTACAGTTATTGACAAAATTTTTCCACTCAAATTGATATTGATCGCACAATTTAAAAATATGGTCCTGAAGCTCAAATAGATCAGAAAACGACAAACGCAATTTTAGATCTTTTGCATATTTTATTACTGCGGTTTTTCACTACGTTTGTATATGAAATTCATTTTTCATTATAATAGAATATTGTATGACTATTTAACAGTATGAAATTTTTAAGGATTATTTAGTGAACCATACTGGAGTGTGGCAGTATCAAAGTCCATACAGTGAAACAGATGATTTTTTCATCTTTGCTCCTTCTCATTCTTTTGAAATCAATGTCTTTAATAGAAACTATGAATCTACAATACTTATATCATCTATACAAAAAGTTGTAGGTTTTTTATGTAGATAAATTTTTACATTTAAAATATATCATGTCCAGCTGTTCGGACTTTAATCTTTTCGTGTTCTTTATTCTTGCTTCGTATTATATCCCGGCAATCAGTTCTGTTGATTCCGTTGCACTAGTCGAGTGCTTTCCCATATTCTCCACCTAGCTTTTTTCAACTAACCTGTTTTCCATTTGTTTTCATTTATAATTCTAGAATCGTTTTTTTTCCATTTATCCTCAATCTCCTGCTTTGTGATACGATCTGATTATTTAGCAACTCATATTCGCTTTGCCGAGTTGCTTAGCGGTTGATATCAAATAGGACATTGATTTCAATATATATATAATGAACTTCCCTTTTGAAAGTAATGGCAGTGATACCAGAACTGTTTATTGGAGTATTTATTGGCTTAAAGTTATATTAATTATTGCCAGGTTTTAAATTGGATCGATTCGAATTTCGGTGATATAGTTCTTGAAGAATCAGAATTGGCGTGTTCATTATTGAATGCTGTCGGTCTTGCGAAAACATATGCTGATCATTCAGGAACCAGTGAGATATCGGTGGTTCCTTTCGAAAATGTACTTTTTAAATTGAATTTGTAGTCTATTTTTCGTCAAGAAAAGCATATTAATATAAATTTATTCGTCAGATTTCACGGCGTTTTTGCGTTTGCTTCATTTATTGATTTTTATTTAGGTATCAGTGATTATTTCGGCATTAATTTTTAACGATGAATCCAATAAGACACTTAAAAACTATATCATTAGCTGTTCAAGTTATGCTATAGTACATCGAATTTCTGGGTTTATATGGAAAGAAATAATTCATGCAAAGAAAAAATTTGATGAGCTTTGTGAGTTGTCATTATTATTTTCATGTTTTTCAAAACCATATCTGTCAGAAATTGAAATCAAAATGCAGAAAGTTGTACTGAATGAAAAGGTCATGTGGGGAAGGTGTGTTTTCTTATTCGTATTGACTCGATGAATAAGACATATTTATCAAAGTAAGGAGTTGGCAACATATAGTATATTGATAAGTATAAATGGTGAATGCCCTAATTTCTTTAATTTGTCAGTGAGATGGATTACATTCTGGAATTTAATTAATTCGTTAATCATTTGCTTTTAGCAAGACCGTGGTTTGATCATATGTCACGTCCATTGTCACTCGCCAACCTACATTGGTTGCAAAGCAGTGCAGCAGTTTTTCATCGAGCTGAAGAGTTATTCGTTGAAATCTCAAAAAAAGTACCATCAGGTATCGACTTTTTGTTTATTTTGAAAGTTTGCTATGGTATTCAATTAATAATTTGTGTGCAGAGAAGACGAACTATTAGAATATTGAAGATTGGCACTAAAACAAAATATTGAAGATTGCTACTTAAAAAGTTCTTGTAGATAAAATTATGGAAGCAGCAACTGCAAGTTATAACATGATGGTGGCTAAGAATCTGGTTTTTTACACAGGGATCGTGTTTCTTTTTTATCACATTGGATTACTTCCCCTCAAAAATTTTACAAGTCTCTACACACTAATGAAGACCAAAATAATTGAACGTAAAGGACGCTTACTTCCTGGGTAAGTTACATGATCTAGATTTATTAATCATATCTAGTAGTACTGTTTCCAACCTAGTTATGTTTGATTTTTTTGTTAAAATTGATTGTTCTTGATTAATAGATATGGCAGTTATTGTAATCGCAACAAATGATCTTTGTTATTTTAGAAGTAAGTTATATATAACAACCTTATTAGAAGAAATGCAAACTGCTTGTCCTGAAGAAGATTTTTGGTTTGGTTGTACTGCCGATGAATGGTATCCTCCACAATCTTTTGAAGTTAGTTTTAACTTGTTTAATGATATGATATTTAATACTTGAGAAATTTTTTTAAGCTACTTGTTGCTTCATCTTTGATATTTTGATTAAAAAAATTATGTCTCAAAAATATTACAAATTCTTGGGATGCTATTTCTTAAGTATCATTCATCACTTTAAATTGGGTAATTTAATTGCTAACGCTTTAGGCGTTGTTATCTGTTACACTTTCAATGAAGATCACTGACATATCTAAATATAAATTTCTTGGATATTTTCTTCTCGATTATGATGACGTTATGCAGAAGGTTAGTAATAATTTCCTTCGAATTTAAGACGTTATTTAAAATAGCTAAATATTATGAATTGCTACCGTTATGTATGAAGTTCTTATGCATCTATCTAATATTTCTGTGGAGTTTTATTATTGTCAATGGGCGGATTTCAGGATCTCATGGTTTTCAATCGCTTTCGATGGCGTTTTTCTTACGAAGATCAAATGCTTTGTAATCAAATACTGTCACATTGGAAGAACGATTGCGGGAAAGAAGTTTGTGCTTTCTTTAAAGCTTATGTTCAAATTCATGTATCGAATCCCTTGCAAGATTTAATGCTTTACCTTTTAATCTATTTAAACTTCTACTTTGTACGATCTACTTATTCCAGCATTTCTGACCAGCGTAATTTTGACCATAAACTTTTTTAGGAATCAGTGTTGAAATGTAAAAACATGATGATTAAGGATAAAGAAGTAAACAAATCTGGTGGAGAAGTTGAGCAATTAATGAATAAATTGTTGCTAAATAACGATCAACTTGAATTCATTAGAAGTATCATTTATTTCGTTGTATTATTTTACTGATTCTCTAATTATTAATAAAATAGGTGAATATTTCTAATCTTGGGGTTATTTAATTTTTTATTTATGATTTGTAAATATTTATGAAATCAGTTATTTTAGATAGCTTACTAAAAAATCCTCATGGAATTCGAGAATGGAACCGTTTTTGTATGAAACGCAAAATGTTTACTCGTCTTTTACCGGCAAGTTTTTGTTTTCAAAAATTGATAAAGTTTATTTTTTTGTTAATAATTCTGAAGTATTATTACTACTGAAATAGCTTAAATGCTTTAATATACCAATAGCTAAATGCTTTAATATACCAATAGTGCGTTGTTATCGTCCAGATTGGAGTTCATGGAGTTCATAGTTGCTTTTGATAATGAAGAGAATAAACTATAATTTAAGCAAAATTTTCAGTTGGAAAAGCCTAAAAGCCAAGTTGATCGCTGGACAATAAAAATTTTGCAAAATTTTCCCGTTGTGCAAAAAGACTATGTTTCCCCACGTGGCGTTTTTTCAAAAACTTCCAGTCCAGGTACAGATCGTATTTATTGTAAAATGTTTGTAAAAAGCTTAAGATAAGATTTTTCAGGTGGTGAAAAGGTATCAAGAAATGTATCTTGTAGGCATTCCGCAGCTCCTTATCCATACAGGTTTCATGCTTAATGTATTTTGTTCTTTTCATTGTTTATTGTACTGTACGAGGCTAAATTTCTCTTAAGTCGATGCATTTATTGTCGCAGTTTCATCATAAAATTTTTTAACTGTAAGGCGTTTTCTTTTATATACGATTTTGATTTGCGAATAGTATTAATAAGTTTTATTGAATGAGTACGTTTCTTTTATAGATCTCATACTGAACCTAAGAAATCCAAAATCTCATATGGATTCCAAAACACTGTTGCTGAGGCAAATAAATCAAAAGGACCTTTTGAAATACTGGACTGTTTTGCAAGTCCTGTATGCAACGAGCACATTGCTGTTTATGAAAGGTTTTTTTTTTCTCACACAATGTCAAGGAATTTTGAGATATATAGATATTTAAAAGCACTCATGGGATTTTTTTCAGAATTTTACCAAAGGAGAATCTGGAAAGTGCTCACCGGTTGTTGCAGACTCCGATATCTCGACAGAACCATATGTTTAAAAAAATTGCAGACTCGTTTGCTTCGCCTGCAGCTTGCAAATCTTTATTGGAAATTCAGAATCCAGCATCAATTCTAAAAACTTCTAGAAAAGAAATTGTAGGAAATACAGCTACTGATGGTATACCATTCATTTTAATTTTTTTGTGTTTAATGTAATTTTTAAACACTTGTATAGTAGATTTGATGCGGCAAGTTTCATTTACAGATACACCTTGCAAAAATCTTCGTTTTGATCTTCCGAATCTCACGTCTGATGAAAGGTTGGTTACTTTCTATCATTCATTTTTATTGTGGCTTTAATAGATTTCTCGGTTTTTTTTACATTTATTTGCAGTGTAATGACAGTGAAAAGTGACTTGTGTGGGAATTCAGCTGATTCGTTGGACTTCCCAGATTTGGTATTTTATTTTCCTATTTTTGTCTTCATTTCGGTTCATACTTCGAGCTGATCAGTCAAAAGTTTTATTAGTTTGCTTTCTTGTAATAAATACTGTAAATATTTTGTTGCAAACTAATTTGATTTAGTGAGAAACAAATGAATGAAAGCTAAGATTTTGAATATATCTAATTCATTTATTTTTTTAGAATTTGTCAAGCAGTGTAAACACAAGTCATGATGTTATTCTGGAGCGAAGTTTTGAGCAGCAGGATGAGTCAGATACTTCCCTCACTGAAGAAATGAATAACAAATGTCCTGAAATTTTCGATCACAAAAAACCTGAGCTCTTGGCGGAAAAACAGAATGCTTTAGACTTTACTCAAAATCAAACAATAGTTCGTTCTTTTGAAGAGCAAGATGAAACGGATATTTTGGTTTGTGATCAGGAGCCTTCAGTATCCACTGATGAAAAACCTTCTACATCAGGAACTTTTATCAATTCTGTAGTTACATGCTATGAAGAACAAGAAAATTCGCATCTTCTTTCAAATTCAGCAGTACGAAGTGTCCAATCACATGAAAATGTTAAAGAAGAAAGGCAAAATAACGAACTGCCCAGAAACAAATCACTGGCAATTGCTTCTGACACAAAATGCGGTAATGTAACAGGAATCGCAATGCTTCTGGGAAAAGAAGAAAAACCACAAAAATTAGTGGAGGAAATACTTGATAAAATGAACAGTTTTGAAGAAACCACTGAGAATGAGCAACTGTCGAAAAAAATATCTTTCGAACAAGAAGATGAGGCTGATCCGACATCTGTCGAAATCGAATCTACTAATTCTGAAATTAAATTGCTGGAAAGTAAACAGCAAGACGAGAATGAAAGTAATCTTTTGTCAGTATTGTCTTTTTAATTAATACTAACATGCTTCTGTTTTTTCAGATTCTGATTTGGTGCATATTTTCTAAGACAGAACTGTCATGTTTTGTTTAAAATTTGTTTACTTAATTTGTATTTAAATTTAAACTACTTTGATTCTTCTCACCAGTTATGATTTGGCGAATTTTGCAGCTAACGAAGCAACCTCATCTTTACTTGAATGCCAAGCATCTCAACATTATGCTAATTATTACTCAGGCATAAAAAAAGTTTTCAAGCGTGCGTTTTTATTTACATTTAGTAATTTTAGTACATTACTGAGGTAACTGCGCATCAAAAAGTTTCATTTCTCTATTCATGAATAGAAATTGCAAGAATTTTCAACAATTATTTTTGAAAAGTGTTCAAATTTTCATAAATTTTGGTGAATGATTCAAAAAATTTTACAATTTATATGTGATAACTTAAAGTTGACAAACGTTTACTGGTGTCCGATGATGATATAAAAAAGAAAGATGAAGAGCCGAAGTTTTTTCAGACAATAAATTCAGGTAGTGAATTTTTTCTTGAACTCGTTCCTTATCTTTTTTCATCAAATTTTTTTTCCCTCGTACATTCATATCACTTTTGTGTCAGTACAAAAAAAAGAAATTGTGACTTTGTATGTTTACAAGTATAACATGTGTTTAAAAATGGTTTCGGAGCTTACTTGCTAGTTTTTTTTAAAGTAGTGATTTATCTATTTACGAAAATAAGTTCGTTGATTGAATGTCTAATTCGGGAATATTATATCTGTGCCAAGAAAACTTTTCAGATATTCCGCCCATGCAGAAAGATCTGGAAGAAGTTTGTGGAGCAGTTAATTTATATGAAAAAGGTCTGGTATTCAGTTAGTACTTTATACTTTCCTATGTTCTTGGCATCTATTATATAACGAAAGTTTTTCCTCAATTTATTGTCATTGATATATAAATGGGTATCGCTATATTTGTGCCATTTACTCTGCAAGATTTTTAAAACATTATTTATGGTTGCAAATAGATCCAATACATTATTTAAATATAGATATAATAATTTTTTATAAGAAATGGAAAATATTTGCGTTTGATATTTGAGTAACTTATTAAAAAACAGGCTAAATACCCCGTATTAAACTCACTTTAGTTTTGTGCTACAGGTGATTCTGATGTTATACTGCCATCTCACATTCGTTCTGATGATACGCTTCAAGAATCGAATTTAGGTTAGTATCCTTATCAAACATGAGGAATTGTTAGCAATGTTAACAAAGAGTGTACAGTTTATGACAGCTATTTAAAAATCTTGTTTTCTGAATTAAATGATTGGTGTTTTGTATTTAATATCCATCTCCTTTTCAGCTGAAAATTTAACAAAATTTTTATATCTTCTACAATAAGTAATTTTTGAATTTCAGCAGCTAAATTAGTATCTTCGACTAAGGAAGTGAGTGAAGGACGTTTGAAATCTGTAGCAGAGACACTTTCAATTCAAGAAACCACATTGCAGTCTCCAGATATTGATTCACGTGATTTTCCAAAAACTATAAAGACCTCCAGAAAACGTTCAAGAAATGCAGCAAGTGTATCACCTAATCGAGAAATAATTCCAATAAGTTCGACTCGAGTCAGTTACTCAGCTAGTAGTTCGCCAGAAACTAAAATTAGTCTTCAAAAACTATTGGTAACAACGAGCTCACCGCTTATTCAGGAACTCACTCTACGACTTTCAAATACGGATTCGACTGATTACTGGCCGAACGCTCGAAAGACTAGAAAACGTGGGAGAAGC